TGTATGGGGAAAGAGCAATGGATGTTGTCTAGCTTGACCATAGAAAGCAAAGCTTTTGACATGGTCTCCAAGAAGATCCAAGCTGGATGGACTACCAGCTGGGTGGAAAGCTGGCTGGATCACTGGCCTCAAAGAGTGGTGGTTGGTGGCTTGTACTCTACCCAGAGGCTCATTCCAAGTGGATGACTGCGGGGGTTTATCCTGGCACCCACCCTGTTTAATATCAACAACCCGAAGGAGGAGATGGTGAAGTGTATGCTCACTATTTTGCAGATAACACCAAACTGGGGAGGTGCAGACTGCACATGCAGGGGCAGGGCTGCCATTCAGAGGGACCAAAGCAGTCTGGGGGAGTGGACTGAAAGGGACCTCATGAAATTCATCAAGGACAAATGCAAAGTCCTGCCCCTGGGATGGTCAAATCCCCTGCACTGGTACAGGCTGGGGACGGACTGGCTGGGCAGCAGCTCTTTTGATGAGGAGTTGGAGGTCCTGGCCACCACTGGTCTAAACACAACTCTGCCCCAGAGCAGAGTTGGCAGGATACCAGCTCTGAGCTTTTCCCATCCTTTCTGGCACAATGTTTTTCAGTCCTCAAGGCTCAAACCATGTCCCATGGAGTCTTCATGCAGCTTCTGGACTTTGCACGGGCATGGCAAATGTGCTCACACATGGGGTTTTTTTGCCATTGCTTTTTTTGTCTCTCCTGTGGGGATGACCAGCCATGGTGAGGAGCTGAGGATGGCAATGTTTTAAATCCCATTGTTTTAAAACCCATCCATATTGGGGCTTTCAACATGGACAAACAAATGTGGGATGTAGACTTGGCTAGTGGCTTACAGTGGTTTAATTGATATGTTTTTCATGCAAATAGCCTAAGCAATTGAACTAAAAATAATCAATATCAAGTGATGGTTGCTGTCAGCCCTGTATTTAGCTATTTCGTGTCTGTGCTGGACAGATATGCATCTATTTGCAGGTTGTGCTAGATATTCTCTGACTATGAAATCACAGCAGCAGGTTGTGAAACATGTATGAAATGAAGATTTTGAATGCATAGAGGGCATAAAAATATGGATGGTAGTGGGGCTTTGCTATGCAGGACTATGATGTGCATTTCTAAATAGCTGGAAAAGCTCATCAGACCTCGCAAGGACGAGGGGAAAAGTATCCTTAATTAGCTTTATAATCTAAGCAAATCTTTCTGCGTTCTTCCTCACTGGTGGATTTCCCCTTACCGTAAACTGAGAGCTGTTTACAAGGAAGAACTTCAATTTCTCACTTTTAAGTTTGGCACCATTTTTTTCATGTTTACATGTTATTTTAATTCTATCCTTTGCAGGACCAGTGTGGGCAGGACGGATGCTGAGGAGGAAAAACCTGAAAGGCTTCAGGAAAAGGGGGTGGGCCAGGTGTCCAGGATAGTTTTTATCCTTTTTTCTGCAAATGGAAACCTCTTGTTAGCTGGGAGAATCAGATTTGATTCAGCTTTTTATTAATTTGAATGAAATCTGGTTTAAGAAGATGGAGCATTTGTCATTGATCTTGCCTCTCCTGTTTTGTTCCTTTGCTGCATTTTGATTTAAAGTAACAAGATCCTGACTGGAAAAGGCAAATGAAAAGAAAGTTCAGGACTCTAGCTGGGGACTGAAGTTTTTGAGATGTATAATTCATCTATACACCTCAGTTTTATATTTCTAAGTTAATGTAAATAAAATAACAGCAGGTACCAAGTAGGATAGCAGTGAACTTTGTGTTAGGATTGAATAATAGATCTCATAATAAGATGCATGTGAAAGACAAGGTCATGGCTCATAGTCCTTTCACTGTAAGGCTTTTGTGCATGCTGTTTATAATGCATTATTTACTGTTTTGTTGTTTTTTGGGTTTTTTTTGTAAGTTAATGAAATGCTATACTTCTTCCTACACTGATGTTTATTCTGTAACAGATGAACAGACATGTATATTTCATGGTTGTTCCTAGGATCTTTACCTGGGTGATTCAGACCTTTTAGTCATTAGGAGGAAAAGGGTATGAATTATATTTAACTTGTATTCATCGTGGGAAATAAACATAAATTCTTCAAATATTCATTCTTCAGAGCGTGGAAGGACAGTGCTGCCCATAGTCTGGTGAAGGCTGTGGTGTGTTGCCTTCTCTAGTCGTCAGGGACCGCTGTCAGATGGGTTAGTCTGGCACTCTGTAAGGGCAAGAAAAATTATTGTACAACCAACATAGTGCTGTTTCCATTAGAAGTTGTAAAGTTCTTCATTTGCATTGAATTTCATTTGGGGTTTACATGCAACTTGTAATCACAGGTCAAAACTTGGAAAAGAAACTGAAAGGCTTCATCAGAGGTTAAAAGAAAAAGTGTCTAATTTTATTCTCAACTGCCGAATGTGACCAGAACAAATGTTTTGAGATGGAAGCTCTGTATGAAAAGTACTTTTACAGGAAAACAAGCTTTAATGTTGTCTGCCTTTTCTTCCAGGAAATTAAAATGCATGACTGACAGTGAAACAGTTGCACCTGACTGGCCTTACTACAAAACCATTGATAGGATCTTATCCAAAGTGACAGACCACAGCGATGTGAAAATGCACGAAAATCAGCAGCCAGGTCCTTCTACATCACAGACGGAGGCCTCACAGTCTCCATCAGCTAAGTCTACACCTCTGTATTTGCCATATAACCAGTTTACATATGAAGGAAGGGAAGAGTGCTTTGAAGATGAACATTCAGAGAGCTCGTCAAGCTTACTTTCTTACAAGCTGAGGTAGCATCATTTTTTCCCCCATTCTTGTGTTTCACAGAGTGAACAGGATCTGCTAGGTAAAGGGGACACTCTAGCACATTTTTCTCTAACAGCTGTTGTATCTTTTCTGTAAATCACAAATGAGATCTCTTCCCCTTGCTGAATTAGGGAATTTTCTTTATTCCTTTGTGAGAGACTGAAAGGGAGTATGAAGACTGGGCAAAAAGCTGCATAATATTGCCAAAACTCAGGATGCATGTCACCACTCACATGAGGTAGAGTGTTTGTAATAGGAGCATGGGCATGGTCCAGAGAGTCCTGCAGTGCAATCAGAGATATAACATACTGCTTAGATGATTTTTGGCTTGCTTTTGGTACGAGTATGAAATTTCTCTGGCTTCAGCTATTATTAAAATGGTGAAGCAATTCAAATGGGATATTTCTGTGGACACTGAAGTGTTACTCATGAAGTTTGAAAGTATATTGCAACATTTTCAGTACAGTTGAGAATGTCACTTTTTCAAAGTAAATGCTAGTTTGAGAAAGCAAACGTGTTTCCTTTTTTTCATAAGATTGGAGTTCTCTGGAAGGCAGTGTTTTAACAAAAGGAGGGGTTGTATGCCTTGTTACATATTTTAGACTTTAGTGGTCTCATTTTTCATCCAGAGTGGTGTGAAATAAGGGTTGATTACAGTTTTCTGGCAGGAGAAAAAGTTGATCCTAGAGATCCTTATCAGGAGTCTGTGAGGCTTTAACTATAACAGTAAAATTATTTGTCAGACATGCAACTGAGAAGTTGTTGAGCTGGAAGAAGAACCAACCTAACAAGTTCGGATTATTGTTTCCAGGCCTGCTCTTGGATGAATAAAACTAGGGTAAATTCATTCAGTCATTCAAGCAAATGGTGCTTGAATAGCTGTTTATTTTTTAAATTTTTTTTTTGGCAACTGGATATCTATTAGGGTGTATAATTCTTGAACTGTAGCAACCTTTTGTTCACAAGTAACATTTTTTTTCATCACAGTTCATTGTAAGTAGTTGATATCCCTGATACACAGTCTCTCTTGATTTTAGGATGTGCAAAGTCCAAGATTACGTTTTTGATGCAATAACTTTTTTCCCAGTTCATAATTTGATTTCTGTAATACTATTTAATGCTTAATTAGAAGGTTGCTTTTCCATAAACACAAGGTATAGTTTATGCACTATACTATTTGGTAACATCAGACTTATTTTAAATGACAAACGTTAAGTTTCTTCAGTTTCGAAACAACTCCAGGACAACACAGATTTTGTACTGTAGGTGCCTGGTAGGGAAGGACAGAGGTCACCACGCTGGGTTTCATTACAGAGCGCAGACAAGCCATCACAGAAGTCAAGCTGATCGACCACAAATCCGTATCTATTGTGCTTACAGTGTGCAGGTGGACTCCCACTCTCATGTAGAAGCTTTCATTTACAGCTAAAGTGGCCTTAAGCCACTCTAACTGAATTATCTCCACAGTGATAACATCTGGAAAATTTAAGCTAGAATGCATTTTACCCAGCTTCAGGTTCAGTGGTTTGGGTTTGGGGTTTTTAAAAATTTTGTCCAAGGTAATTACCTAAACTGTTTTCGTAGAAAATATTTTAACTTTGCTTGGCCAATCTAGAAACTGCAGATCAGTTAAATCTAGCCTTTAATGGCACAAGCTGTCTGTCAACTAGCTGCAAGTCCGGTAATGACGCTTTGTCCTCGCAGTAGCTCAGGCTGCAGCGCTGCAGTTGCCTGCTAAGGATGGCTGTGCAACAGGGCTTGGGAGCTGGAGGGGAGGGCAGGGCAGCTGTTGCTGTGGTAGGACCTCTGTAGTACAGTGCTCCCTACCTTACTAATGCAGCCGTGCTCTCACAGTCTCTATAATAAAAGAATTTTGTGCAGTATAATATTGTGCGTGTCACTTAGCAGCAAGATCTGTACATATTCACAAGTTCAAATACAGTTCTGCTGTGTTTAAAACAAGAAAAATTTCATCGGTAGATGCTACTTGAACATGCTACGATGTTCGGGTGAGCATCGTGATGGGATTAAAAATTGGAAGGCACTTGTGATATTAATGGGGCCTGTATCTGGAAGGAGGAAAAGTGGTATTACAGTAGACACAGGGTGTTTTGAAAAGCTTGTACAGCTTTGACCTGTTTAGTTTAGCCTGATGAAATATGAGAAGAGTAGCGAACCGTTTTTTGGCCAGAAGGAAATACAGTGCTTGCTGATGATATCAGATGGGTTAAAATCACTTAGAGCTGCCTTGGTAAGGACGATAATTCTTTTAGAGTTGCTAACAGAAAATTATGAACTGAGAAGCAATTTTCAGTTTAAGCAATTCGTGTTTCTTCCTGGATTTGAAAAACACTTTGAAATAGCCAACAAGAGAGAAAAGAATTAGCATACAAAATTTGGGTCCATCTTGGCTTTCTTGTAAATGCCCTTGCCTCCAAGCTTACACAGTTGATCTGATAGATTCGAAAAAGGAACTAAGGACAGCACTGGGATTTGAAATGAATGTTTCATTTCCTCTGTTTCCCTCTCATTTTCTGTACTTTATGGCTGTGCAAAACAATAATTTTGAAACATGTTTTGAAAAATACACACACATCTATATGTAAAATATAGATGCCTTTTACAGCTGTATATTTTACAACTGTATATTCCTTGTTTTTCTGTGAAGCAGACTATACTCAGATCAATCAAGTGTGCAAAGTAACCTTACACTATGAGATTTTTTTTCAGTAATAAAAATGATGATGTTATGGCAACAATGGATAGTGGAAAAAAACCTCAAACTAATTTTTTTGACGCCAGCTTTTAAACTTCTGAAAACTTTAAACTGTCAAACACAGCTTTTGAGTGTCAGCTTTGCATTTTCCACAGTATCCTTGAACATAGCAGGGGACTACTTGGCTATATAAATTACAACTTAAGAAAAACTATTGAACTGAATGTTTAGCTTTTATGATAGAGAAAAATGTCGACAATTATACTTCAATCAATGCATGCATACTCTCAAGCTAAAAATAGTTGAAAGTGGGTTTCTTTGCATTTTATTTGAAATTCTTTGAGTTTGGGACCTTCTTATAAAAAAGAAATGTTGCTAGTTAGTGATAACACAATTAACATGGAATAAAATAAATTTTTATTTGTGTTGCAGTTTGCAGATGAGAAAAACATTTGGAATTCCTATGTCCCTTTAATGGGGTGCCTGCTATTTGTTTAGTATTGTTCTAACACTGCTCTTGGGCTTCAACAAAGGTTATATTAAACTGCAACATTCATAAAACATCTGACTATAATAGAATTATTCTATTATGGTCATATTATATAGTGCAATGTGGTGGAGTCTTGTATTGCAGTTTAAACTTTTAAAATCAGAATTCCTGATGCCGCTATAAATGACTTCTTATCTAATTGAAAACAGTGTTTTTTCACCCTGCAGACTAATTTATAGTCTTTATTTTCATTGTTAAAATAATGACAGAACATAATTTTACAGACTGTGAGTGTGGTTCAGACTTATCTGTTCTGCCATTTCTATCGTGCTGAAAATGGGGGTGAGTTACTTTCATAGATTAATAGACAGTAATAAAACCACCATGTCACCCAGTCTGGCTTTCTGTTAAACACAATCCATGTAGTTAAATTCAGTTATTCTGGTGTGGAGCCCAGAAACGTTATGGAGGGGGTTCTGTGACATGCCTCCCTTCAGCAGAGGACTGCTGCACTCTGGAGACCCACGTCTCTTTTGTCCTCCACTTCTTTGTTCTTATGATTTGTTTGACTCCTGGAATTTTTTTTCGTAGATATCCGGTCTAGATCTGATGTATTCAGTAGATGGAGAATTCACTCTTCCCTGCAGGGATCTGTTCCAATGATTAATCCCCTGCAAAGGAAGTTTCTAATGTGAATATAGTGAATTAAACTATCAGATGTTACTTCTATTTATCTTTCTTTTCACTATATGGGAGACCCTTTCAGTATTTTTCACTTTTTGCCTCAAGGTAGTTGTGTACCATGATCATGCCATCTTTGCTATTCTTTAATTTTTAAATGTAGATTATGTAATATGGTACAGAAGGTTTACACGTGGAGAAAGAATTGGTAACATGAATTAACCAAGATACGAACTGTTTAATAGAAGTGTGCTAAAACTTGGTGAGGATGCTAATTCAGGAAATAACAGTTTTGGCAAAGCCTTTAATCTTTCTAAAATTACACCGTGGCTATTTAAAATCTGAATGGGCAGCATCTACAAAGAAGTTTGAGCTTTAGGCTATGCGCATTATGTAGTGCATCTTCATTCATTATGCAGACTTGTTATCATAGCAAGATGCTTTGCCCAGGCTCCAAGTAATTTTTGTGGTTCTTTTCTTCACTTTAATTCAAGGGTGAGCCGCAGCGATTCTTGAATGCATTTGGCTGTATTTGAATGAGCCTAGCTTACCAGAAGATCCATGTTGCCTGATTCTCAGTCCTCAAACCTGGAAGATCTTTGTGCCACCTCTAATATTAATAATATTTATTTCCAGATCATTGTTAATTATTTTCCATAAAGATATAGGGATCTACTCAGATTTGTAAACAGCTAAAAAGCACAACTAAGCCAGAACCAGCTGTTAGTAGTTGAAAGCCAGAGATTCCAGAAACTGATGGTACTGGAGACCCATTTGCCGTGAAGTAGTCAGAAAGGAAGAATTGTTTTTATGGTTTTGTGGAGGTAATTCATTTTGTTAGACAGATTACTCTTTGTATTCAACTTATTTTTCATTAATTATTCACACACATCCCTGAAATGAGCCTTATTGGGTTAGTGTAGGCAGTCAATCGAGGAACTTTTAATTGAACAGTGAATTAAACTGATCTCTGATAGGTAGACAGCAAATACATTTGAGACTTGCCTAATATCTTGCCTAATTATATTTAGAGGTTTTGCTTTGTTTCCCTTGGTCCCCAATGCACACTGTCATTTCTGCTCAGCATTTCTTTCCCTTGGTTTGCCTGTCTGTTTTGGTGAATAGTGTGGAAATAGCTTTGCAAGGTCCTTCTTGGAACGTGGTCCCAAGGCCAGAGCTCTTCCATACTTCGTTTGTGTGGTCAGGGGAATATCGGCGCCAAATCTCTTGGAGGCTCCCTGCTGTAGACACTAGAGGCCCAAGAGTATCAGCAGATTGTATTTAAGGTCCTGGATTTCCCAGATGTCTCTTTCCTCCAGATCTCAAAATCTACCTTCAGAAGCTATGCTTGGCAAAGGGTGGAGATGCTTCTTTGGCAGAGGCTGTGGATGCTGACAGGGTCTGTTGCACAGAGGTGTTGACTGCCCAGGAATACAACATGGAGAATCAGTAACAGGAACTTTGCTACAGCAAACAGTGATCATTTCTTATGCTTGTGCCTATAGATTGACAAACTAGACATACTCCTAGCTGAAGCTATCCGAGGATACTGATGCTGGCGGGTACTCACTGCTGAACTCATATTCCTATCTTTGCTTCCCTCTTGACTTTCTGTTATAAAAACTTATTGACACTGGAGCGGTCTCTCTGGCATGCTACCTAGGAGATCTAGAACTTCTCAAGAAAGATAGTTCAGTATCCAAGGAAACACTTCAGTATTCAAATAACTCCTTCAGGCGTCACTGGACATTTTACATTGTTTCATGTTGCTGAGGGTTGTTTACTTGTGAATTAGATTCTTTAGATCCTTCTTTTATAGACCCCTTCTCAAGAGCTCTCCTTCAAGAGCTAGTCTGCAAGAAGAGAGGATTATAAATTCCAAGTCCTTACTATTGACTTGTGAGTCACCCTGAAACCTGCTCATTGATAGTCTATGGCTGGAGAGAAAAGGAGATTGGGAATACCACCAAAGCTAGAAGCTAGGGGTGTCTGAAAGAAGGTTTTATTTTCAATCAAGCCTGTCTAATTACCAAGTCTTGGTTGTTAATTGTAAACAAACATAGAGAGTACTTAGGAGACCTTGATCTCCTTGTGCCCTGGCTTTTGGAGGGACTTCTCTATGCTAAAACCCTGTTTTGAGCAAGCACTTGTCAGTGGGTATGCTCTCAGTTATTAGCAGGCTGCAGATACTGGTGATGCAGTTCCCCAGGTAGCTGCCATCACCACCAGACGTTTTGCCTTTCTTTCCTCTCTGGAGCTGTACAGGACAGTTATTGTCTTGGACATATGTTTATATGTCTCGCAGGTTTTTGATGGACCACATTTGTTTAACTGGAAAAGGTATAAAATCCTGTACAGGCGCTAGGACAACACTTCAAAGATTTTTTTTTTCTTCTCTTAAAAATAAGGCCTTATTTTACATCTTTCAATCCAAATCACTGCATCTCCTTTTTTATTTTTTTTTAAATTTTATTTTTTATTATTTTTTTGGTCCTGATTGAAATTAAAAACTAAATGGCAGCCACAGTTGCCAAGAAAGTCACACAATACTCAGTGCAGCTCAGTACCATTGACATGCCTCAGATTTTCTCTCTCATTCCTTATTAAGGACCATTCTCACCAGGGTTTGCTTTGACAAGATGCAAGCCCTCTTGTGGCTCTAGGCGTCAGTTCTTGCCTGTTTCAGACAAGAGTTCTTACCATAACTACTTTTTAGTACTGTATAGGGAAGAGGATAGAGATCCATTGAGTTTTTGATAATTAAATCCTCTGTGAAGACAAGTTTAAATTCAAAAGGTGACTTTGGCTAAAATAATACCATCATTTCAGAAAGTTTCTTGCTCTGCCTACCAGAAAGCATGCATTCTTTGTGAATGTGAGTGCTCTGGTGGGAACCTTGGAGTAACAGATTCACTGTTAGATGGCTGTAGACCTTTTCCACTTGCTTGACCTATTTGAGAACCACATTTCAAATCATTCTGTCCCTTAGAGCTGATGGGGGCAGATAGAATTTCCTGTCAGATGAGACCCATTCTTGTGGGATTGTCTGGCTGTGGTAATCTCCGTGATCAGCTGCAAGCTTCACCTGCAGTTTGAGCAGAGCAGCATGTATTTATTTTACGCACGTTTATTTGATGTCCAAAATCAAATATGATATATAGAATCTGCAAAGGTGAATTTATTTTGTATACCCTCCAAAGTTTTGTTTAGCATAAAGGTAGAATCATAGAATCATTAAGGTTGGAAAAGACCTCAAGGATCATCAAGTCCAACCGTCAACCCAACACCACCTAACCCACTAAACCATGTCTCTGAGCACCACATCTACACGTGTCTTGAACACCTCCAGGGATGGTGACTCCACCACTTCCCTGGGTAGCCTGTTCCAATGCCTGATCACTCTTTCAGTGAAGACATTTTTTCTAATATCCAGCCTAAACCTCCCCTGGTGCAACTTGAGACCATTTCCTCTTGTCCTATCACTTGTTACTTTAGAGAAGAGGCCAGCGCCCACCTCACTTCTCCTTTCCCTTAGCATCACCGTAGCAGTGTAATGCTGATAAAGCCCTTTGAATTGTACAAATAACTCTAAATTCTTGGGTAGTCTGAAAGCCAGTGGTCTTTGTTCACCATGTTAGTGTGCATTTATGAAGGAAGACTGTTGTTCCTTCGTACCTGTGCACAGGGAGCCATCACATTCAAATGACTAAGCAGTACTCCGTTTCCCTCAAGACCAATTCCAATTTTGTTTTCCTCTAAGATTTTAATACCATTTAATTTAATGTACTTTTTTCTTTTCGTAGACCTCACCTTTTTTGGGTCATTGCACTCTTAAATGTCAAGGAGATTGTGTCTTTTTGTTAAATTTGCATTAAGTCTTTCAGGTGCTTAGGATTGTTTATTTCTCTTGCTGAGAGATCTGAATGTCACAGTGACTCTTGCACAAAGCCTGTCAAGCAGAATAAGAACATTAATGAAATGATGATACAAATCTGCCACAGCTGAATGACCTCCCTCCCCTCTCCCCTTCTTCACAAGTTTAAGTTATCTTTATTCAAGAATGTCTTGAAATGTACAAAGTGTTGACATGGCATACTACTCACAACTGTGCTATCTCATCATTGCATTTCACATAGACAGGATAATGCATTTGGCAGAACACATCTGGGATTGATCTCTGTGTGAAGAGACTTCAAAACCCATCATCAGATAACTTTGATGTTGGGGACTCCAGTCTGGAGTTACAAAAAGTGTGAATGAACATGTGAACTATAATTTTAAGTTACAAAAGAAGTTATCGAGCTGTAACTGGAGGTTTTTAAAATGTGTAATTCACTTACACATTTGCCTTCTACTTGCCTTTCTTCCTCCTTCACAATTCAGCTTCTTTCTTAGATTACAGGTTAAAAGAAACAGGTCTATGTGTGTGTTCTGACTTGTTTGCCATGTAGTCTGGTTTTGAATTCATGTGTTGCACTGTCACCCCAAGTTGGGACAGCCATGTGAACTACACATCTTGAGAGCACTGTCTTTATTGCCAGGTTTATCTCATTCTTCCAAAACAGAAACTCAGCATAATGCAGCATAGAGGAAATTCTTAAATCATTAGCCCAATTGCACATGACAGTTTTGCAGATTTCAGATGAGGATGTACAATTCGATACATGTTTGTCTAACTTTTATACCCTGAGAGAGCTTAGAGACTGTCTGCTAGAGGAACGTCAACATGACTGGATACACAGACAGCCGTAGGAACTGGTGATCTGGTGTTCTCCAAAGGCTACAGATACTCTCTTTGAATTTCAGAAGAACTTTTTTTTTTTTTTTTCTTAAATCCCAGTAGCAATTACTTACAATATTGAATACAGAGTCTTACCTTTATATTATGATGAAAACAAAACTACAGGCAGAAGGTTATCATTTGCTTGAAGTGTCTATTAAAATGTTAGAAGTTTGAAGGGAAGTATGGTTTGTTTTGTTAGATATTCTACTTGATAAAGCTTGTTGTTAACCTGAATATAAGAAGGTGGTAGTCATTGTATCCTGTGTTTGTGACAAATACATTTAATGAAAAAAAAAATAAAGAGCAGCTGATATGATATATGATCAATCTGTGACCTGTAAGAAAAGAGGGAATCTTGTAAGCTGTATCCTAAAAAAAAAACTTTTCTTGTGTTTGTAGTGTTTTGTGGTGGACTACATAAGTGAGCGGTTAGTGTAGCTCCCGTGTTTCAGTGCAAAGGCAAATTCTGAGACCAGTACACTATAGTGGGATCAGGCTTAATGATGTGATGCTTTAAAAAATGAGCTGTAACTTACCACCACACAACAGTACAGTGCTCTCTCCGGGTAGGTTGGTTATTGCAGCTTTAAAATTGGAGTTTTAATGGCCAGATGAGCAAAATGACTCTCCCAATACAGTTTATAAATTCAATGTGTAAGAAATGTCAAGATTTAAAAAAGAAAAAAAAAAAGATGCCTGGTATTCTACAGGGAAAATTCTCATTAAAAACAATGAGATTTAAAACCTTTTTTTTTTTTTTAATATTTTTTTTTACAGTCTGTAACACTATGCAATAATACATTAAATACTTATGTTTTGGCATGAACTTGAGAGGGAATTTATTGGAGAACACAGAGGGGTTTAAAAATAGGACTAGGTTGTAGCTTGGCCAAGAATGTTGTATAGAATTTTAGGTTCTGACATAGTTTTTTTTTAGAAATATGTTTAATTGTTAACAAATATTCACATTTCAGAGCTGAAGAAAGACCAGTTAAGAAAAGAAAAATGCAAAGCTGCAGCTTCCAAAAGAAGAAACTAAAATTAATGGAGGCCATGTTGGAAGAACAGAAGAAGTTGAGTAGAGCTATGGAAGAAACCTGTAGAGAAGTTCGCAGGATTCTGGATCAGCAAAACATCATTCAAGTTCAAAGCTTACAGTTACAGGAGAGAATGATGAATCTACTGGAGAAAATGATCTCCAAATCCAATGTGTAGTTTCCTTTGTGAATGCCTCTGAGATTACTATTGATATTATAGGTATCCCTTTATTGCACACCATATGTGTGTCTGTTGCCCTATTCCCAGGTTTTCCATGGAAAATAAAACCTTAGTGTAATCTTAGTTAAGCGAAGAGAACAGATAATGCAGGGTGAGAGCTATCCAGGATGATAAATTAGTGCAATATATGCCTAAGTTGAATTATTTTTATACAGAAGCATTAAGGGATGAATAGCTCTGGGAACTTCAGTACAATTTATGCCTAGGTCAGGTATTGTTCTACAAACAGTGGTGTTGTATATTGCTTCACATCAAGGAGTATAGCTTGACCTGTTGTAGGAGAATGACATAATGCATTTTTAAACATGGTAATTGCATCTTGACTTTGCTGATAATTAAACCCTGTTTTGAAACATATGCTGTGATTGTACAAGTGACCTATGGTTCTTGTGAAGAACTAGTTGGGACCATGAGATACATGATTTTGAACTCCATGTCTGATATGAATAGTACTCTAAAATATTAGGGTAAAAATAGTCTATTCAAATACATTTTTGATATAAAAAGAAAACCCTCCAACCACCTTACTATATACTGAATACTAAAATGTATAGAAGATACTTGAAGTTGCTTTTGATATTAAATGTTTAATTTTTTTTCATTATTAACTGGAATCTGTTGACTTAATGAACAACCAGCAATCAAAACTCATTTATTCTCTATCACAAAAGAAAAAATATTTACTGTGTGTATATACATATATATATAAAATCTGTCAAATGAAATAAAGAAAACTAAGAAACTTATTTATTATTGCTGGGCAGATGGTATGCTTTGGGACAGTGAAAAATACTGGGAGAGATAACCACGGTCAAAGGTTTTTAATTCTTAATTACAGGGTAAAGATCTCCTAACATGCCCAAAATATAGAGATGGAAGTGATGAAGAACATTCAGCACCTCTACGGTAGTATTTGCTGGTGGCCCAACTTCGGGATGCAATTTGGTGTTTCTAGGTGTGGTCTGTAAGGCAGATCAACATTGATACACCACAAGAGGGAGCCGGAGGCATAAAGGATTGTGCGTAAGTCGTTAAGATGAGGTACCAGCAAGTGTTTGGTTCTTCAATGAAATATGACATTGAAATAACCTTTAATAGAAATTCAAAAATTCATCAGCTGAATTTCCTATATACCCTTTCTGTTTGCATACTCCTTGAAAAACATATTTATACTGCTTTCACTGCATTTGCCAGACTGAAGGTTAGATAGTATAGGAAGTACAGAATTACGGCTAGTGCCAGGAACTCAGGCCATTTTCCATTCTCACTATTACCTAGTGTCCCCTCTTGAAACTTTGTTTTTGAAGGTGTTTGCATTTCTCTATATAATTTAACGTATTGTTGCCTAAGCTAATGTTAGCTAAACTATTTTAAAACCCAGGCCCAACCAATTAATCTGTAATTATGCTGGATGAACAGCATAAAGGTTATGCTCACCAAGCAAATTAATAATATGTGGAAATATTTCTTAGAAGATCCTGCAGGTATGAAGATTAAGAATGATTAAGTATGTAAATGTGGCCCATTCCTACAGAGTTGAATTAATGAGAACAGGATAATGCAAATGTGGTAGAAGACTGAACCTGCAGAAGATGGTGGCTGCTGAAGTATAAATGCAATAACTTTCCTTCACTCCACCTTTACTACAGCAATTGGGTGACTGGAAAAAGGGCAAGTGTCTGGTCTGATTCTGCAAAGACAGAGATGTAGCTGGCATTTAGCAAAAGTGAAATTCCAAATACTTCTGTGTATATAAATTGAATTAGTCATATCTGAAAGAGAACCACGAAACCTTATTGTATCTCTGCCTGCAGAACTACTCTTAAAAGCAGGACTGTTCCTAATGTCATACAGGTGATCAGAATACTTGCAAGAGCATTGTCATACAGACTTGTAAGAGAAAGGGAATGTATGTTGTGTGCTTCGTCATGGTTTTGCACATTCCAAAGGTAGATCTGTCACACATTCAGGTAGGCTGATGCATCCATGTTGTTGTGCTTCATGACTAACTTGTTTACAGTAAGATATAAACTCTCCCCAGCTCCGTGGGAATTAATAATATTTACTGATATTATCTACTTGAACCTTATAGCAATTAAATCCAATTAATGAGCAATAGCAATGCAGCATATTTGATCCTTGTACAATAGAGTAGGTAGCCACTGTCCTTGCATGCTATGAGAATTGTAACTCCAGAGGTCTAGGAACACAGGAATGGAGGAAATCCACTGACTCCTTGCCTGCTACCACAAGCAACCATGCCATATAATCCCTTTTGTAAATGTGTGGACCCGTATGTTAAAATGAATTAGGTGTTTTGTCGCCAGAATTACAAGAAGAGCCGCATTTCAGATGGGTAAGCTGCAACTGGAAGATTGCTTCTAGGATTATTCCTGGTCAATTTATACCAATTTCTTCGTGTATCAACGCTGTGATTTTGCCACTTTCTGTAGTGTTTAATCTTGAGACAGAGGTCGTGTCACATGCAGCCCTTCTTCAGAAGATTAACACTCTTTTATAAGGTAGGCATTATTCTGATCACTGATTTGCTAATTTTGCTCTTTAAGTTCATCCTTTTTAAAGTTGAATGACCAGAATGACATACAGCATTCTGGACGAGACCCTGAACATTGTCTTACATAACTGCATGAAAGGAAGTGGTGTTTTCTGGAGGCTGTGAGATTTTGTTTCTATATAAAACATCATTTTTTTTTAGTAGTTAAATTTAGAAGATCGCTTTTAAAATCTCGTCTCTTTAACAAAAGGCTCTGTTCCCATCCTTCCAGATTGTCTGTGTTCTAGCCCTGTTTTTGTCCAGAGATCTCTTTAACAAAAGTCTCTGTTCCCATCCTTCCAGATTATCTGTGTTCTAGCCCTGTTTTTGTCCAGAGAGTGAACACAGCACTACTATAGCCAAATATAACTAATTTCTAGTATGACAGAAATTTTCTAACGTTCTTTTTGACAACAGGCTGAAAATTCCCTGCCTACCCATAGTTTCTTTTTGCTGCTGTTTTGTTTGTTTCAGGAAAGACTGAACATTTACTTGAAAAAATAGGTTGAGTGATTTTTCTGTTGGATTTTTGTTTTTTGTTTGTGTGGGGTTTTTTTTGGTTTTTTTTGTTTTTTTTTTTAAGGTAGGCACACCTTTCTCATCTATATGGGACAGTTAGCTGCAGGCAAAGATATTTGCATGTTTGAGATATTCAGACTAATTATAACTTGAAAGACCTGCCTAGAATGAAAATGCTTGGTAGAATTCCTGGTTTTGCAAAGCTGAGACACTGCTTCTGTATCTGTATGAGTAGGGAGTTTAGAGTGTAATAAGAGCAGAGCAGGGGCTACACAAGTCTATCACTGTAACTATGACATTAAAGGAATGCCCTCATGGCTTCTAGAAGTATGATCAACAAATAAACTGTAGCACAGGAAAACAAATTTCTTATTTTCAGGGCAGTAACGGGGTCAACACAGTATGATATCACTTTCACTAAACGAAGTGCCTGTGTTACATATACACACACAGATGGTGCAAATGGAAAAAATAAATAGGTGAGGAAATACACTGCCTGGAGGCAGGTGACTTTGAAAGTGATGTACAAATAGAATGAAAAGGAACCCGAGGAGGCAGATGAGAAAATGAGACATTGAGAAACATACAAGCAATTGAGGAGATGTGGACTGTGATAAAAGGAAAGATGGGAAAAAAAATATGTTGGGCAAAGCAGCAAAGTAAATGCCTCCAAACAAAGCTAGTAATGGCAGGGACGAGAAGGAACACAACACTTTAAAAGACAGGAAAGTGAAAATAGAAGAAAAAGCATAATGTTGAAGGAGAAAAATTATGGTATGAAGGCTAACACTAGTGAAATCCTGTGTATTTTGAATAGACAGCTCCTACAGATAACTAAGACAACTTCTAAATAGTGTACAGCAAGTAGTGACATTTTTTTCCCACCAGAGAAAAATAAGTCTCTGGGCAGATATTTGCAAGAAAAAATATTTTCACAGACTACAGAATTAAGTAATTTGTAAAAAGACTTAATTATAATTAGACTGAATTTTCTTATGTTGGTAGTAACAACTGGCTGCTTAAAATGGTTTTTAACTATTTTTTTCTCCTTGACTTCAAATTGGAGACGCATTTTAAGATTTCAGTTTATTTCAGGCCTTGCCAAGTTTAACGGTTATCCACAAAAACAGGCAATATATTTATGGACATGGTATGTCTTTTATCATTTTCTCCGTAAACGGCTATCTCTTTTGCAGAGTACAAAACCAGCAGAAAAATACACATACTGAATTTTTTATTATTTTTCCAGACTTAGTCTGCCCAAATTAGTGTAGGCAAGAGTTTACAACTCTGTAGACTTACCCAAGGTTGACAGCCTGGTTCTGTGAATAGTCTCTTGTACTAAAGTTAATGGGGCTATCCGGATGAGTGAATTCATTGAACTGTGTATGTATATGTTTGCAGGAGCAGTTCCTGCGCTGATAACGTAATGTGAAAGGCAAATTTGAAAAAGAAATTTAGGAACATTTGGTGGTGTTATGTCAGCAAGTAAATACCAACCATCTGGTCTCTAGATTGCTAATCTATTTCCCCTGATTTTATGGGTAGCATACTTCCTGTGTGTGCAAGCTTGAGACTACATCATTAAACTTTTGTGTTGATCTTTTTTAGTGTTTTAACAGAAACATCTAAACTACTTTGCTATTTTGGGGGTGAAATTTTGTTCCTATGCATAATTCTTCTGGTTGGAAATTTTTAATTCTCCTACAGCTTATTTGAAGGTGTTTTATTGAAACAGATTTCTAATGAGGACGAATAATTTCAGGTATCTTCTTTAAAAAAAGACCAGTCATCTGCAGTGAATGACATCCAGTTATCTAGAGCTGACTGTTTACTACAGATAACATCTCGGTTTGATCCTGGTTGAAAGTTATGTCCTTGTGAAATATTTGCAATGTAGTGAAGGGTGTTGCTTGTATTAAAATCTATTGTTCGGTACTAAAATATTTTTTTAAAGAATGAAGCTCATATAAAAATATCTTTCAAAGGAGCTGTCTTTGAAAAGAGGCTCTGAAAATGAATCCTTTTATAATTCTGTTTTCTTAAACTGTTTTTCTTCCATCAGATTCCAAGAATATGGAATCTCTTACAGTGTTTAAGATGTTAAAAAATATATATCTGAATTTGGATTTTTAAATGTGTTTGCAACATTTTCAGTGAAAGTCTGGCTTCCTGACTGTATGTTGTTATCTTAGGGGTAAGTTCAGGATTGCTATTCTTTGCAAGAAAAAAGTGAATTGGTGCATACTATTAAAGGTATAAAATTTGCTACATACTTAAATGTTGAGAAGTACTTATCACAGCTTGAGGAAGGCTTGTTTCACTGAAGGAAGCTATAGGAATATCAATTTGCTATGAACTGCAAAGTAAACATATTAAGAAAATTAATTAAAACTACTTTAAAAACTCTCCATGATGCTCATTCTTCCCCCCACAGGTTTAACTATAATTTATCTTTAATTCAGTATAATTAGATCAAATGCAGTCTCCTTTACAGATGCACAAAACCTTGCCCACGTGAACTTGTGCAGTGTTAACTATACCGGTGTACTTTCTTTAAACTGATGTGAGCTAGATTTTATATGCTTCTTTTTCAGTTAGCTTAACTTGGAACTTCACTAGATGAAGATAAAATACACCACTGTTAAATCTTCCGCAATATTGAAACTG